ACCTAGAGGCCGAAGAGGACCTTATAAAACTAATAAGTTTATAAAGGAAAAAATGGAAAGATAAGATAGAAAAAGAATTCAATGAAAATATAACTAAAATAGAATATACAAATCAATTATATGCATCTCAGGAAGCTTTAAAATGTTTTAAGAATAATATATCGGAAAATTTTATAAAGTGACCAGACAGGACCTTAATAATTGATGATATTCAAGATCTTATAGATAAAATCGAAAAAAGAAAAATGAGAATAATAACAAATCATAGGACACTTATACAGTTAGATGATGATATAAATATAGACTTGGATATTATAAATTGTCAAACTTTTATGGACTTTGAAGAAATTATAAGAGAATATGGACTTTAATTTGATTTTTGTTACATGAGGAAACTTGAATTCCATAAGATGTGTTATGCATATAAAAAATTAAAATATAGATTAATTATTAGATTTTAAATCCTTCTCATAAATCATAAAATAACAAATGAACATATAATAGAATGTTTATAAAATACTAAGAATGTTTAAAGATTTTGAACCCTTATTTAATTAAATTTTGATTTTAGATCTATTTTGATTTTTGTTTGCTCTAAGTAGCCACCCCTTATTGGTATCGGAGCCATAAAAATCATGTAAACTATAATTACAAAAACAGATTGGTCTTATAAGTTAGAAGAAGAAAGATTATGTTATATATTTTTAGAACATATTCCTAAAAGATTAAAAATATTAGCATCAATCATAATTAAAAAATTACCGAGAGAAATAAAAGAACAAATTATAGAAAAACTCATAATAGGATCAATAAGAGATGAATACATATACGAAAAAATTATTATAGAACTTGAAAGACAAGAAATTATGTTATACTGTAAAGAAAATTATGGATCACCATAGAAATTGACCCTTATTAAATAAATACTTACTACCATATTATAAAGAGAGAAATGGAAGAAATTGAAAGAAAACTTGAAAATGATCTTAATACTATGTATAAATTACACCAACATTGATAATACATTGTTAATACCAGAAGAGAAAAAAATTAACAAATAGTCAGGAAAAACAAATATTAAAATTAAGATAAGAAAAATCTAAAATAAAAGCAAGATAATTTAAGAATCTATAAGAACTTCCAAATATAGAATATGTCAAATTCAGATTTGATAAAATAATAAAAGAATCAAAGGATAATGAATATGGATTATTTTATTTTACCCAATCAAAAATAAAACCCGAAAAATAAGAAATTCAGAATATTAACAGATCTTCTTAATAAAGAAATGAATGAACTTAAACAGCTGATAAAAATATTAATAACTGATATCCAAGATTTAAGAAATGAAATAAAAGAAGTAAGAAATGATGTAAATATATTAAAAATTGAAATTAGAGAATTAAAAGAAAACAATAAAAGAAAATTGTAGTCACGATGTCAAACCTTTTATTTAATAGCAAACTTGGTCCAAATCTTTCATTTGTACTACCCACGATACCAAACATTTCAAAAATTCTCACATAGAGTCCAAATGGATGATTTTCGTTAATTTGACCGTTAGTTGACCAAAAGTCCATGGTCTAACCAAATGTTGACTAATGTTTAGACGGTAAATGGGTAAATTTACATTTTTTTATATAAACTAAAATAATTAAATAATAAAAAACAACTCATCCACCCAAACTATCTCCTTTTTCCCCATCTCTATACAACCCCTTCCCTTGTCCCAAAATCATTGCCACCGCCACCCAGGTCGCCAACCGCCACTGCCACCGAGGCCACCAACCTCCACTGCCACCGAGGCCAACTGTCCCATCGTCTCTAATTCACCTAACTTAAACAAAAGAATGAGAAGAAAATAATTTGAGATTTACCCAACTTCTTCCTCTCTTTCTACCTCCAAATCTATCACTTTTATTAAACAAAGTGTTATTACTTGTTAGATTCCTCTTAGAACAAATCAGCAATAGTTTGAGGGTGAATACTTTGTTGGACATATTATGCAATTTATACTTTGTTGGACATATCAGCAATAGTTTGAGGAGAAATAAAAGATAAAACTAGTTTTAGAGTTATTTTAAAAGTTAGGATATATTATGCAATTTATAGAAATTCATATCATTAAGGGTAATATAGACTTTTTCGTGAATAATTTAAAAGACGTAATTGACCGGGCGAAATTGAAATATCTCCCTATGGATTATGCTGATTATTTTATATTGCATTTAGAGGTGTAAATTGGTCAAGGTAGATTGAGTCAATGGTTGTCAACCACTTTGACAAGATGTGTCATCGAAGAGATTTGGCCTCCGTTTCATGACAACCAATTAATTCGAAAGAATAATGTTATCCAAAGCTACATTTAGTTCAATTAAATGAATTATGTGACTTTGCATTTAAATGAATTTAGTATTTAATGTCATGTAATTGCCATCTAAATTGGTGCTTAACACTAATGATGATAAATATTGAATCGAAATTGATTTGCTTTTCATTAGAATTAAGTTAAACGTTGAATATTTTATTTATCGGTATTCAATTTATATAAATTGATAATCGTTTCGATATTTTGGATTGTGAGCATCAATTATTTGCAATTGTGTGAAATCAATATTTATGGTAGATCATGCGAAGTTCCGGAAAGATGAGTACTGTTCATATACAAGAATTTGAGTAATTTTTGAACGAACTGAACAATCATAGTACCTAACTAATTTGTCTTCAATTTGAAAGTCGATATGAGCAATCTTATTTACCGAAGAAAAATGGGGCTTCAATTCAAACATTCATACGCCAAATGGGAAGAGTTCAAAAGTCAAGGATTAACTATACACAATTCAAA